TGATGATACCTTAGGCCCTTAGCTATCTGTTATGTATGATTAGGAAACTCCTATACTTTTTGGTTGATCTGATACTCTTTTATGATATGTTTTGTTGTGATTCAAATCTGATTATGCAATAAAGGAAGAAAAACTGTAGTATCTCAGAGCTTCACCTTTAGCTCAGAAGGCATGAACCAGTCCTTGAGATGTAGCACAAACCATTTCACTGAGAATGAACAAAAATGGCTTCCAAATTCAAAATCACAGTAGAAACCATTTCACTTTGCATAAACAAAAATATTTTCCAAACTCAATTCAAAGGATTATTATCTTAAAGGTTTGGAGTTTCACTTATTTAGGCAAAAAAGAAAGAGAGGGGCCTGTTCCTCAAAAAAAGAGAAAGACAGGGGTCTTGCTCAGATTGAAAAATGGGGTGTTTGGGGATCATTAAAAGAGTAGAATGGGTGCATCTTGTAACCTTCTCATCCAATAAAAACATGAAAATAAAGCTAACCATCAAAGAAAACACAAAGAAGAAAGGAAAAGAGAAAGGGGATTCCTTTTGTTCCAATGTTGCTACGAATCTCTCTCCTCTCTCCTAGGAGCTATACTTTATGATTTTTCATCCTTCTCTCTCTACTTTAGTCGTGGTCAATAAAATACGACCCAAATTCTTGTTTCCATTTTTCACAGTTCCTTCAAACATTAGGGCCCAGAAATAGAAAAGGCAGGAAAGAGTAAGTGATAGAGAGAGCAGCTCAAATGAAAGGGGGAGTGAGAGAGAGATTTCCTAGAGTGTTGTGCATTATGTTTCTAAACATTACATATTCTTGTGATTTCTTATGGGCTGTGGGGGTGTAATGTGAAATTTTCTCTAGATTTTCAATGTCATAAAAGAGTGAGAGCTAGCTTATTAGCTGGTACCATTGCAGTTCATCAGTATACCGTAGATGTTAATTTCTCAGTCAAGAGCTATTACCTTGAAGTATACACCGATTCGTTAAATTGTCCTTATGGTTCTAGTCTTTTAGGATTCTAAATCTTTCAAAGTCATTGCTGCACCATATTTTTACCTTCAGCGGATAATGTAGTTTGACTATTTCCCTTAAGAGGTCTTGTTCCATAACTCTTTCCCTCAAAGTCTTTGTTGCACCATATTTTAACCCTCACCATATCTTGTCAAAGTCATTACTGTACCATATTTCTTCGATCTATGCAATTCATTTCTGATGCGAAACAATCTTGGATTCAGCAAAAACTACTTTATAACTATTTGAAGCTATTAGTAACCAGTTGGGCTTTTCTCTTTTGCGGCTTTGTGATTTATATGAAAATGACTCAATATTCGACAAATTTGAGTGTTGTCTAAGTGGAGATGGACTGAGGGTGGCAACTAGGTCAACTACTTTAGAAGCCAACAAAAACCCCACAAGGTATATTGAATGATTTTTTACAAGAAAATAATAAGATGAGGAGGGGAGAAGTGACGTGGCAGTATGGCACAAAAGTGAATGATAAAAGAAGAGTTCGATGTAATTTTTATTACAACGAAATGGGTGGTAGAATTTATCGCCTAAAAGAATACATTGCTTGGGTAAAAGGTAATGTCACCGATTGTAAAGAAGTATCATCTAAAGTAAAACAATAAATGTTAAAATTAATTACGGACGAAAAAGGAAAAAAAGTACAGAGAGAAACGGATGCGGCAGAGGTAGGGAGGGGGTATGAAAGTCCAATAGATGAGGATGAGGACGAAGAAGCACAGTTTGAGGTGCAAATGGAACGAACTAGGATTGCCAGCTTTCAAGAGTTAAATTATAGACAAATGGAAATTCAAGAGATGTATGGGAGAAGGGATGGTACATCCGATAGCCGTCAACCTCAACAACCTATAATACCGGGTAGGGGAGGATGTGGGCATTCATTGCTTAGGTCTACATCTAGTAGATTGAGGCGCAGTTTCTCTAGTCGCCCATCATCTTATAGTCGGCTATCTACTACTCAACGACATGAACCCATAGATGTGCTACTAATGACCCGCAAACCCTCTGGACTTGATCCCCACAATATCATCAAAAGAAAATAAAATTCACGTTAGCATGTATATTAATAGAAAATGCGAAAAAGATAATTAGCATGTTCTGGTATGCTAATGCGTTGTCATTAATTCTGCGAGCTCATACTTCTACCCACAAATGGTAGCTTCTATAGCTGAGGTAGGGCCGGGTGTTAAAGACCCAACTACGAAGGAGCTTGTAGGGCCATGTTTAGAATTTGTTGTTTGTGATGTCGATAAGCATATTGTCCAATTCAAGGTTTGTTGACCAGGTACAGGTGTGACCATCATGACAGACGGTTGGAAGGACAAGTCCGATAAACATCTTGTCAATTTTTTAATAAGTTACCTTAGGGGCATTGTTTACCACTCTAGCATCGATTTATCAAGAAAAAAACATATAGGGAGACTAATATGCATAAACTTGGACAAAATTGTAGATGAGGTTGGGTCTGAAAATGTAGTCTAAGTAGTGACTAACAATACTGCAAACTACAGAAAAACAAGCTTATTGCCAATGGAGAGAAGACTCAATTTTTATTGGACTCCCTGTGCTTAAGGAAATAGGGAAGCTGATGAGAGTTAACAGTTGTATTTTGAAGTGTAAGCAGATTACAAGATTCATATACAATCACACGTATCTCCATGCTTTAATGAGGGAGCATTGCATACAAGAGATTGTTAAGGAGTCCACGACCAGGTTCGCTAAAACGTTCCTTACTATACAATCGATATTGTCAACAAGGCAGGATTGAGGTCAATGATACGCTCTAATGAATGACAGATTGATAGGGCAACAATGAATCAACATAAAAAGCAAGTTGAAACCATCCTTGTCGATCTGAGGTTCTGGGGTTGATGTAACCATGTTGTTTCTGTAACTCAACCTCTAGTGTAGGTGTTGAGGTTAGTTGACTCTGATGATAAACCTGCAATGAGGTTTCTGTTCGATATAATGAGACACACAAGGCAAGCTATATTTGAAAATAACATATGGATTGCAGAGATATTGGAGATCATTGATCATAGGTGGAGAAACCAACTACACCGGGATATCCATGCGGCAGATAATTTATGATTCATCATCGCAATTCATGATTCTTTCTTAACTCCGAGTAAAGTTACCGTAATTAATAATATGACAAACTATTTGCAGGGTTCTTTCTTAATCCATAAAACTTGTACTCCAATGCCACCTTAGATGTTGCAAATATCATGGAGGGGGTAAGAAACTGCATCTACAGGCCTGAGCTTGATCTTGAAACTTAGATGGAGTGCTTGCAGCAAGTAAACCTTAATCACAATGAGTCTGTAATAAAATTTTAGTTCAAAATAATGAATTGCATTTCTATGTTGTACTAATTTCTTGCATATGCATCTTGTTATTTGTAGTTTATCATGTATATGGAAAAAAATGGGGAATTTGTATACAACAATGCCAAAAAAATAGCTAGAAAGTTGCATCTATGTTAGTTTTAAGTTAAACTTACAATAGTTTAGTACAATACTATTTGTGGTTGTTTTAAATCAATTTATTTTCTATTATTTAGTAGTTCTATGTTTGTCTGTGTCAGCAATGGTGGGCGATACACGGAATTCAAACAAAGCAATTGTAAAAGATTGCAGTTAGAGTTTTGAGTCAAACTTGTGCTTCCTCGGGATGTGAAAGAAACTAGAGTACATTGCAGTGGATACACACCCCGAGGTGAAATAGGTTAAAGACTCCGACGCTGCACAACTTGGTGGACGTTCATTACAACCTCAAATTGAGAGAGTGATCTATAAGTAGGACGCCCACTGACTATACACCGATCAACCTTGATTACATCTTCCGAAAGGACCTCGCCGATGACTAGGTCTCACAAAGGACCCCACTATTAGACCAAGATTTCCTTAATGGGGCAATTGTTACTATGGATGATAATGCGGATGTTGTAGTACCCAATAAGGAGACATGGCAGTGGAAATGGACACTGACTATGACGATTATACACAAGATGAAGATGACGCTCAAGTCGAGGAGGACACAAATGCGATAATAGAAAATAACTGGCAAGGCCTTATCGTCTAGGAATGTGAAGGGACGAAACATGATGCGGTGCCCGAAGATCAAGAAGATCCAATGAGATTGACTTAGGAGGAAGTGCAGGCATCGAGGCGTAGCAGCTACTCGACATGGGAGAGATGAAGCCGTAGTTGCCACCGTAACCTGGTTATTCATGATGATGATGACATTGAAGCTGCTGACGACCATAACATAAAACATAGTGGGGGTAACATAGAACAACATAGGAGTAACACATAACAGGGTGTGGGAGACCCCGAGGGCTGGACGAGTCTAGAAGACTTTGGCCAAGGGGGTACCACAGGAAATGTTCCTGATTGGCGAGGGGTATAACTGCAGCATTACAAACTCCATCAAGTTTTACTCAATGTTTTTGTCCAATAAACCCTGATAGCGAAATACAACAGTACCATGATCCCCCTCGCCACTCTCATTACTACTAGGCATTGTTAGTTGGACATTGTAATTTCATCAACTTGAATTTACAAAGGGGTAAGTTTGGACCACACTTTCTGTCTAATGTTTTAGAAATGCGAGATAAACGCTTTACGGCTTTACTAAAAATATGACCTTTAATATAGCAGAACGATAAACCACGATTCGTATAGCAGACCTCAATTAGTTGAGAGAGGTGTTTATAGTACAAACCACAACTGTAAAGTGGCTCATCCAAACTAGCAACTTATGCATCAAAATAGTCCGGGATTCATACTAGGATACCCAAACTCTATCATAATATCAAACAGTTCTTTTAAAATTTGAGGTGCAAGAATTTTAACATGTACACAAGCCATATGTTTTAATAAAAATATCTCAATACAAAATTACCTCGATCAATTATCTCTCCCACAGTGTAAATTACTTGTAAAAAATTACCTCAATCAGTGATCCTGCCCATCAAAGCAAATTACTCGAACTAAGAGTTTTCATGAGATTCCCCTCTTCTATAGACCTCCTCACTCTCTCAGCATCACTCCATCTCCTAACCCCTGCATAAATATTAGAGAGAAGCACATAGTCCCCTCCAAACTCTCTCTCTAGCTCCGCCATCCTCTCCATAACATGCTCCGCCAAACCGACTGCACCATGAAAACAACAAGCTCCAAGTAAAGTCTTCCAAACCACCACATTACCTTTTAATAATGAGTTCTCTCTTTCTAACATATTCTCGGTTTCCTCTAATAAGCCAGCTCTACCTAATATGTCGATCATGCATCCATAGTGCTTGACATCTGGTACAATCCCATAGTCCTCTACCATAGCTGTGAAATACTGATGGCCTTCTTGTACGAGCACTGCATGGCTACAAGCATGCAACAACCCAAGAAATGCGATCCCATTTGCCCTCACTCCCATCCCCTCCATCTCTCTGAAACTTGAATTGCCTCTTTGGCATGGCCATGCATTGCATATGCCGATATCATGCAGGTCCATGAAACCAAGCTTTTTCTTGGATTTCATCGAACACTTTTCCCATGTTTGCTATGCTCCAACATTTTGCATACATGTCAATGAGCGCTCACTGGCACAATGAATGAAAGCCCCATCTTTCGGGCAAAGGCATGGATGGAGTCCCCAATATGGGAAGCACTGAGACATTGATTCAAAAAGTGGACCGCCTAGTCGGTCCAGAAGGCTTGGGCTCATCGCCTAGGCCTAGGCGATACGGAACCTGCCTAGGCGGGCGCCCAGCACCCAGCGCCCAGCCTAGGGCAGCCGTCCAGGGCCTGTGCCCCGCCACCTAGGCGGCCTCCCTGCCCAGAGGTAGAAATGTTTTTTTTCAAAGTTGATAAAAATTAATTAAAACATCACTCATTGATATTAGATTTAATTTTTGATGTTTTATAAATCTATTGGGGTTTTTTAGAAGATTTTGAGTCCTTAAAAGCATATTTGACTGGGTATCTTTTTGGGATTCGACTGGGCCGCCCAGGTTCTGGGCGCCCACCTAAGCGCTGGGCAGCCTGGACCCCCCAGGGCACCTTGGACCTGCCTAGTTCTTTTTGAAACTATGCACTGAGACCATGTTGCAAGGCTGGGAGAATACTAAGTATAGTGGTCTCATTGGGTTCGTTCTCATTCTCCTCCATCAGCATAAAGCAGAAAATAGCGAATGCCTCTCTTCTTCTGTTTACCCATCAATCATCGTGCTCCAAGAAAACACACTCTGTTTCCACATCTCATCAAACAGCTTGTAGGCATCATCATTCTTGTCATGCTGTCCATAAGCAAGGATCATGGCATTGCATATGACCACATTCTTCTTTGGCATTTCATTGAAGACTTTGCGACCATTAGATAGGCACCCACTTGTTGAATATACAACAAGGAGAGAAGTACGTACATAAATTTCGGAATGGAACACAGTATTAATAATGTGGGAATGGATCTCCCCCCCTTTATCTCTCAGGGAGGGATCTGTGCATGTCTTTAGAAGAAATGAATACGTGAAGCCGTCCCTGTGGGGGGCAACTTAAATTTTGCATTTGTTTGTATATAATAAGAACTGCTTGTGGGTTGTTGTTCCTTTCATAGACTCCGAGCAAAGAGTTCCCAATTATTGCATTCAATCTCGACTCTTAAATGCACATAATCAACTGAGAATGGACTTGTCTAATTGGATTTGTACTGAGACATCCATTCAAAGAACATTTCTCTCTCCGAACCTCGAATTTCCTTATGGACCGATTCTTGGTTTCTCCATTATGAAGTCGAGTAGTGAGAGATGATTTAGTTACCCAAGTATTGAGGATTGAGAGTTATAAACTGGACTTACCCTTTGAATAAGAATGTAGTTTTTTCAATCCCTTGTATATCATCAGTATATATGATGTTCTTCTCTCTACTTAGCTTCTCGATTTTCAATCAGCCATTGATCTCAATATGACTGCACCCAAGAGTCTTTAGAACCCCCATCTTAACCATCATTTTTCTTACCCTCTCAATATCATCCCATGTGTGAGCCTCGACATATATATTGGATAATAGCACATAATCCCCATACTTTAGAGGCTCCAATCTACCCAAATTTTCCAGAGCGACCTCTACCAATCCCACATTCCCATGAGTCCTAGATGCACCCAACAAAGTCCTCCATATAATAGTATTGGCCTCAAATGACTTTTTATTAATAACATCATGGGCCTCTTCTAAGAGGCCTTATCTACTAAAGATATCAACTATGCAACCATAGTGCTTGATCCCAGGCTCTATCTTATACTTCTCTATCATATTACAAAACTATTGGCAACCCTCATCAACAAGCCCACTATAACTGCAAGTCGTTAAAACCGCCAAGAAGGTCACACTGTCAGGATTGGTTCCGCTCGACTGCATTCTCGCAAACAATTCGATTGCCTCTTTGCAATGGCCATGAACTGCAAAACCCAGAATCATTGCATTCCATTCCATGAAGTCACATGCTTCATTTTCATCCTCTCAAACACTAAACTTGCTGCCTTCAAGTTCCCACATTTTGCATACATATCTATCAGAGCATTGCCCATGATCCCCTCAGCCTCAAACCCACATTTTTCTCAATGTATTCATGTAATTTTTTACCCATCTCCATGGCTCCAAGTTCAGCACAAGCTCCAACAAGTGTGATCAACGTAATCTCAGTTGGACTCACATTAGCATCTTGCGTTTTATCAAAGAGTTCCAAGGCCTGATTGTAAGATTTCTTCTTGACATAGTAAACTATAATGGCATTCCAAGAAGCCGTATCTCTTTCAGGCATTTCTTCAAACACCATTTGAGCAGTTTTGATATCGTCAGAGTCAACATGTGCCGCAATCATGGTGTTCCATGAGACGACAATTCTTATCGGCATCTTTTTGAGCAACCCATTCGCTGATTCAATATTTTTTGCTTATGGTATGCCATGACCATGGTATTCCAAGAGACTATGTTTTTCTAGGTCATTCTGTTAAATACCAATCGAGCAGCCTCAATGCTACCAGATTTCGAATACATGGAAATAAGAGAATTATGAACAAACGGATCCAATTCTAGAGTAGTTTGTATAATTGTGCAGTGAACTTTTGCCCCTTTATGGAGAAGAACAAAGTTGTGCCCTTCTGCGATGCTTCTCGACACCCTAGCACAAGCCTTGAGCACGAAAGGGAAGGTAAAGTTGTCGGCCATGAACATTTTCAGAACGCATTATGTTATAGAGAAGAATGGCTTCGATTGGAAAGTTGCTATTAACGTAACCTCTTATCATGTTGTTCCATACAAATGGGATAGGTTTTGCTCATAGTTATTGGGAGTGGGAGCGGGAGTGGCTCCGGTTCCGAGAGCTAGTGATGGCTACTTGAAGCTCTAGATCTAGGGAAGCGAGTTCTGGTGAGGGTAGAAGTTACAGATCGAGATCCCATTTAAATAGGGAGTGAGATCCCTATACATTGGGATCGATATCCTATTTAATGGAAAAATGTTTCATATATTTACGAAACAAGATCCCATTTGAATAGCGAGCGAAATCTTGATACATTGGGATCGAGATCCCTATTTGTCAGGAACGCATTACATGTAACATGGGATCGCGCTCCCATGTCTATTAGGATCGCGTTCCTGTTGACAACGAGTACGATATCTCATTTAATGTTGAGTCTCACCCCCATCTAAACAATACCACGATCCTATTTGGCTAGGATCGAGCTCCATTCATTATAGGATCGTGTTTTGCACAATGGTGATCTGCGCCCCCATTGCAGTACTCCACTTGTATGAAGAACTCAATTCTATTACACATGGATTCGTGCACCAACTAAACACGGCAGCCCGTTCCCATACAAATGCGATCTCAATTTGGTTAAATTTAGAAATCATTGTTCTATCTATCAATGGCCCATGCGGCTAGATCTATGCACAACCAATCTTAGATGTCCATGGATTAATTAAATCCCATTAATCTAGTATGAAATAAAGTCTTCTAATGCTATGAACGATTAATGTTAGTATTATTCAAATTCACATACATGAAATGAAAATAAGCTTTACGTTGACATTTGTATACACGGAAATATATTTTCCAGGATTCGGGTACCATTTGGATGCAACCTAAGCATATATGGTTACTGTTAGGTTTAAATTTGAGAAATGCATCACCGTTATTTTTTGGTAGAAATAACTATATGAAAATTTTACTAAAAATATTAATTTTT